TCCTGCAGTTCTGCCTCCTAGAGACGCTGGTCACGGCCATTGTGGATGAGGTGGCAAACGAGTGGATCCTGCAGAAAAAGACCTACGTGACCTTGGGTGTGGCCGTGGCTGGCTTCCTGCTGGGCATCCCCCTCACCAGCCAGGTAAGCCCCGAGGGACAGGCTGGGCTGGAGTGGCCCGGGAGGGGGGCATCGTGGGCAGGGGAACTAGGCCTCGGCGCTGCCGGCTCAGCTGCCCCCTGGCCCACAGGCAGGCATCTACTGGTTGCTGTTAATGGACAACTACGCGGCCAGCTTCTCCCTGGTTGTCATCTCCTGCATCATGTGTATGTCCATCATGTACATCTATGGTAAGTGCGCAAGCTTCTGTGGCCTCTCGTGCGCCGGCCCCTGGCCTCCCCATGCTGCCCTGCCAGGCTTGCTGACACCCCTCTCTCAGGGCACCGGAACTACTTCCAGGACATCCAGATGATGCTGGGATTCCCACCGCCCCTCTTCTTCCAGATCTGCTGGCGCTTTGTCTCTCCAGCCATCATCTTCGTAAGTTCCTCGGCTGCCCTGCCCGCCCCCCTCCCTGCTGCCCCCTGGCAAGTGTCCTTCTCTTGGGAACCAGCGGAGGGAGAGCAGGAACCCATCCGTCTGGCCAGAGCTACCCCCCCCCCCCCCCCGCTGATGGGGTCTCTGCACCCACCACACCAGCCACTGGGAGCCTGAGAGAGGTTGCATAGAGTCAGGCGGAGACTCAGAACCACCCGGGCACTGGCCTCGGCTTGGGAAGGGAGCTTGGAGCCCTATTCAGCTGAAGACGGTGCCCAGCCTCGGCAGGGGAAAGCAGGCTGGCAGCGGCTGAGAGCCGGCCCTCCCTCCCTCCCTCCCTCCTGCGTGCTATCCCCAGAGGGGCCTCAGGAACAATTAGTGATATTGGTGGCAGCCTCCATCGGCGTGCTGATCCCTCTTAGCCGAGGTGCTCGGGGTACGCGGTATGAATGCATGGGTGTTCCAGAAGCGGGTTGTGCAAGTCAGATGTCAGCTCCAGATCAGAGGCAACCTCCTACGCCTTCCAGGCACTGGAGTGGCCTGGCTCTGGAGAGGGAAGGCTCTCGTTGCCCCAGTATTCAACACCTGGGAGACTCCCATCAGGGAGCAGAATTGGAAGGACCTCCCGCCCTGGCCGGGAACCAGGCACTTTCTGCATGTTGTTCATGTATCAACTCATGTGATCCGACTCTCCAAGGCATCATTGTTATTCCCACTTGACAGATGAGGAAACTGAGGCACAGAGATGTTAAGTAATTGACCCAAGTTTACACAGCTAATAACTGACAGAGTCGCTGTTGGAAGCAGGTTGTCCCATCCGGAGCCTGTGTGCTGGGCCAGGGCTACACCAGAAACGGCCGCAGGAAGGACGACTGGTCCATGGACTAAAAACCATCTGGTTTTGCTCCTTTATGCTCAGGGTGGGAGGAGGAGGCACAAAGTGTTTGTTGGTAGAATGGTCGCTCCACAGAGAAGAGGCAGGACCACGGGAGTGACAGAAGGGTCAGCCTAGTGGCAAGGGCAGTGTTCAGTCATGTCCCTGTCATGCCCAGCTTCTCTGGGCCACAGGGAGCTCAGCACCGGATTTCCACTTTGGCTCATATTTCTGGGGGCGGAAAAGGCCCCTGAGGGCTGAGGTCTCCACCACATGGGGTGTGGGATCTTCCCCGAGGCTGGCACAGGCACCAGCTCTGGCCACTGGCCCAGCTTTGAAACAGGAGCAACGGAAGCCTCCTATAAGTGGCCTCCTGTAAGTGGTGGGAAGCGGGGGAGGCCGGACACTGCTGCCAAGTGCCGTGCCCTCTGGGGGTTGCGGCTCAGGCCGAGGCCGGGGACCCTCCTGAGGGGAGCTCATCCTCCAGAGCTCCAAAGAGGCTGCCACCCTGGCAGAGACCTGGGCTACCAGCCAAGGCAGAGCAGGAGGCAGGAAGGAAGCAGACCCAGGAAGGCTCCAGAGGGGCAGGCTCAGCCCGGATGCCGTGTCTCCAAGAGACTGAGGCAAAGTGGGCAGCGCCCTCTCTGTGCTCAGAAGCCAGGCCAGAGTCACCCTAAGCCGAGGACTGCAGGCCCTGTGGACTTATGATTCTGGGCTGTTGTGTCTTCTTTGGGGGCTTTACTTCTTTAGATTTCTGAAAGGTTCTTTTTGACAAACCATCTTTCTGTCCGCTGAAATAAGAGATTTGTTTACACCTTGATTAGCATCTAGTTCCACTCAGGAAACTTGTCATAAGCTCCTACTATGCGCAGCATCCCAGGAGGGGCCCCCCAGTGGATGTGGGTCTTGCCGTCCTGAATTTGGTCACTAGGATGCAGCTGAGGGCTCAGGAGGTGGATGCTGAGCCCCCCTGGGGAATGGCCCGTGAGCCACCTGCCCATCTTTCTGCTTCCTTAGTTTGTTGTCGTTGCTGTGGCCCGGGCTTCATTTCCCATCCCACTCCTCTCTTTCCAAAACGGTTCCCGGTCCCCAGCCTGCCATTCAGCATTTCTAGACTTTGGAGCCTCCCTTATGGCTCCACAGCCATAGACAGGCAGGGCTTTGCCCTCTCCACTCCCCCATCGCTCTCATCTTTGCATGGGGTCTGACGGAGGAAAATGGAGAGGATTCTCCAGAATAAATGAAGAGGGAGGAAGATGCTGGGTGCAGCTGAGACATTGAGACTAGGGTAATGTGGCCAGAAGGATAAGTGAGGTCTCGCTGGGAGATGGTAAAAGCTCTAAGGCCCAGGATTTGGCAAAAGGGAGCCATCGAGTCTTTGAGCAGAACTGACTGACTTCAAAGGTGATTTCAATTGTTCCCTGGCCGGTTCAGGATTATGACGAAGGCAGACCTCTCCTCTTCCATGATGCCTGATGCCTACCTACCCCCCAGGCCCTGGACCCTTGGTTCCATCTGCTTCTTCCACTACCCAAACCTTGACATTGCCCCTGTCCTGCCCAAAATGCTTCTTCCTAGTTTGGGAGACTGGAGAGGAAGGGGAGGGGTGCTGGGAAGGGGACTGAGGACTGGAGAAGGGGGGCGGTGCTGGGCAGGCCTCACGGGCACTCCCATCCCCTACTCTCTGCAGTTCATTCTCGTCTTCACGGTGATCCAGTACCGGCCAATTACCTACAACCACTACCAGTATCCAGGCTGGGCTGTGGCCATCGGCTTCCTTATGGCTCTGTCCTCTGTCATTTGCATCCCTCTCTATGCCCTGTTCCAGCTCTGCCGCACAGATGGGGACACCCTCCTCCAGGTGAGGGGTGGGGGCAGGCCACAGCCAGGTGAACCGGGGGGGGCGGTGGATGGGGCTTCCTGGCTCCCTTCTGAAGCACCCACCCACCCTCCATGTCTACCTCTCCTGCAGCGTTTGAAAAACGCCACGAAGCCAAGCAGAGACTGGGGCCCCGCCCTCCTGGAGCACCAGACTGGGCGCTATGCCCCCACCATCCCACCCTCTCCTGAAGACGGGCTGGAGGTCCAGCCGCTACACCCGGACAAGGCCCAGATCCCCATGGTGGGCAGTAACGGCTCGAGCCGTCTGCAGGACTCCCGGATATGAGCACAGCTGCCTGGGGAGGGCCCCACCCCCGCCCATGCTCCCACCACAGAGACTGGGGAGGCAGGGGACGGGTGTCACCACCTGCCCTGCCATGCCCTGGCCAGGGCGGCTGCTGTCACCTTGGTCACCCCTGGTAGTGTGGTCATTTGTGCTCATGTCCCCAGTGTTTACAGGTCCTTTGGATGCCCAGATGGCAGCTGGGGATGGGTGTGGGCGATGGGAGGGTTGCCGGTGGGGGGGGGGGGCAAAGCACTTTGGAGGGGGGGTCTCAGGCCGGTCCCCAGAGATCTGCTGGGCTTTACATGGCCTCTGATGCCCCCACACTCTGCCCTGAGCTGTGGTTCTAGGTGGCCCCCCTACCTGTCCCCCTCCTTGGGCCTCCAGCCTCCTGACCAGTGTTCCTGCCCTCAGAGCAGACCCCAGCCTCTGCCCAGGCAAATTTGGGTCTTCCTATCCAGGGGCAGGGTGAGGGGCTGAGGGGGCTGTACAGTGTTACTTGTCAGGCTGTGCCACCCAGCCCTGTTTGTCTGTGTAATTATTTTTGTAAAAATCGTATTATCTGTGGTTGCCACTCCTGTGCCCCCAGCCTTGGGCCCCCTCTGTCTTCCAGGCCTGCCTGCACCTCACTCGGCTGCTCTGGGGTCTCTGCACCTCATTCCAGCCCTGGCTGTCAGGCCCAGCCAGCAGAGGCCCATGATCCAGCAGCCTGCCCAAAGCACTAGTTTCTGGGGGGTAGGGGTGGGGCGCTGCTCAGCAGGAGGTTTGAGCCCAGAGCCCTGGGGAAGGGGACCTTACAGGAAACCCCCTTGCCCTCTCTCCGCCAGGTGAAAGGTCCAGTCCTCCCAAACTGGGCTGCCCTTGTTCATGTGCCAAATGGCCCCAGCCCGCGTGCCCCATCCCCTCTCTGGAGCCAGAGCTCCTCCCCCGCCCCCAGCCCCGCAGTGTCCATCTGTCCGTCCTCTGTGCCCCTCTGTGCAGTGACAGCGCCGGAAGAGCCGCCTCTAATCCTCTGTAGCAATAATGGTGCACCACCCACCCCTACCCCTACATGCACCACTAGGATTTTAAAGTCCATAGATTTTAATGAAATTTCTATTCCTGTCTCTGAGCTGCCACTGTGCTTTGTCTGAGTGCCCCAGGGGGACAAGAGTCGGTGCTGGGATGAGACCTCTGCCGGCCAGGCCTTTGTGGAGGACTGGAAGAAGAAAGGCCAAAGGCCCTGATGGTCAGAACGAGACACCAGGGGCTTGGCAAGGGGGTGGGGCAAGAAGGGCCAGACAGACGGACAGCCTTGTGTCCTGGCGAGGGCCCAACCAAGACTAGATCTGAAGCAGGCTGGGCCACAGCAGCTGAGAGGTGGCAGCGGCAGACGGGGTGAGTTCCAACAGAAGCAGAAGCCGAAGACTACTTCCCAACCAGCCCTTCAGGTGGGGGCGTGGGGTGCCGCGCTGGACACTGGAGTAGACGCGGGCCTTTTCCCCGTGCTGCACTGAAGCCTCCGTCGCCCGTGGCAGGTGGCAGTCAGGTCTCGGGGGCAGCACTCCGGCGGAGGCGCAGGCAGGCAGCCGCCGCGGGGCCCCGCCCAGCCTCCTGCAGCCCCGCGGGGGCACGGCCAGCCTCCAGGACCCTGGCTGGAGGAGCCCACGGGCTGCTGCCTGGACAGGAAAGAGCAGCTGTGAGTGAGCAGTGGCCTGACCCTTCGGCCACCCTGTCCCGCCGTGCCGCCGTCCTGGTTGACCTGTGGCTGGAGGAGACACAGGATGGCCTCAGAGGGGCCTGCAGCTCCCGTCGCATGGCTGCCTTCTGTTCCTTCAGCTCTGCAGGAGAGGCACCTCTGAGGCACAGCGCCCAGCAGCGCTGGGGTGTGTACAAGTGTGGCGTGGGGAGCAGGAGGCTGGGGGCTCTGGGGCCTCCTTGGGGTCCTCACCTGCCAGGGTGGGCTCTAGGGTTGCCTCAGAGGGCCGGGGTGCCCCTGTATACTCCTCTTCCAGGCAGCGCTGCAGGGAAAGCTGGCTCAGTGCCCCGGCCTTAGGCAGGGGTGGGGCAGGGCAGGACCCCCAAACTGGCTCAGGCAGTCCCTGGTCGGGGGGGGACACTAGCCCCCCTGAAAAGCCCAGCTTGGTGAGGTGGTGGCTGGCTTGGACTCAAGACTTAGGGGAAGGTAAGGAAGCAAAGACAGGGACAAATTCAGCAAGTTAATCTAAAAGTGCTGACCTTGGGCTAAGGGGCTCAACCAGAATCTTCTGGATTCACACACACAGGGATGGTACCCATGTGAGAAATGGCCACAGGACCCACACACACCTTTCCATGCACATATGCACACAGACACACACGCACGTGGCTCTCACGCACCAGGTAAGAGGCAGCGGTGTCTACACTTAGCAGAAAGGCTCTGGGCAGGGAGGCCCAGGGCTGCAGCTCACCTGCAGGGTGGGGATCATCCTCTCCAAGGTGTGACACTCCCCCGCCAGGAGGCTCCTGGAGGATGGTAGCCGCGACCAGCTCCACAGGACCCAGTCTCAGCTGAGCCCCCCACCCAGCCCCTAACCTCCAGCTTCCCCGCTTCCAGGCCCTCCTGCCTCAGCCCACCCTGCTTTCTGTGGCCGGGTGCTGCCCGCAGCCTTCCAGCCCCCACCAGCCTCCGCCAGGGCAGGATGTGTCCTCCCCGTGCCTACTTCACAGCGCCCACCATCCTCTCTTCTGCATTACGGCAGGGGCCTCCTCCAGCCTCCCTTCTCCCCCGCATCACAGCCCCTCCCCTGCTTAACACCCTACCATGGTTCCTCAGGCCTCAGAGCCTGCTGGTATCCCTGCTTGGCCATTTCCCGGCAGCAACCATGGCAGCGCTGCAGCAACCTGCCCTCGCCACCCCTCAGCCTTCCCCTCTTGCTCTCCCCACCAGGTGTGCGGCCACCTTCTCCTCTCCCGCAGTCCAGTCCCAGTACTTCAAGACCTGTCCAGGCCCCATCCACCCTGTGTCCATCCCCCCCACACACACTCAGGGGCCTCACCGCAGATGTCCAGCAACCTGGTCGATGCTGGACACATTCAGTTGGTCCTTGATGACGCTGAGGTCCCTCTGACTGCTGCTGGCAGATGGGGTCAATGTTACTCTCCTCGTGTTGCCTCACCCCAGGCCTTCAGGACACAAGTGCCACTTCTCCTAGACAGTTCTGTGTCTTTTCTCGCAAAGGCAACATAGTATAGTGCAAAGGGGAGGAGTTCTGGAGCCTGGTTTGCAAATGGGCTCTGTCACCCTTCAGTGTGTGTGACCTTGGGCAAGTGGATTATCCCTTCTGAGCTTTAGTTCCTCGTCGGTAAAAGGGCGCCATCATTCCCCCAAAGGGTTGTGTGAGAACTAGAAATAAGCTGCTGCCGCCAGTCACTTACAAACACGCTTCTGCTCCTTTATCTCATTCACTCCCCAGCGCTCCCTAGCCCAGCTCTCGTTGATCCCTCCATGTGGTTGTTGGAGGTTCAGCTCCAGGCCAGGAACTTCTCCGTGGAGCCACGTGGAACCCACCAGCTGGCTGGGGTCCTCTGCCAAGCAGGGACAGATCCCTCCTCTCCTACCACCACTTTACCTGGGTTCACCAGCTCTCATCTGCAATATCTCCTGTTCTGGCAAATCACACCTAGGCTCCTCCAAGGCAAAGCGCAGAACCCTGGGGCTATACTGGATCCAAGCCTGGGTCTGGTCCCTGCAGAAGGTGCACTGAAGGTAATTTAGGGGCTCCTTTCAGGGAACCATCAAAGGCAATCCTGGCCCCTTATCAGGCGCAGGGCTAGCCCCTCTTAGTTCTGCCGCGGGGCCTAGCCCTAGCCCTAGGTCTGAGGTTCCCACCTGCCCTCGCAGATGGCCTTCTGGCGGAGCCCCAGGAGCAGCTGCCTCAGTTCCTGGCGCACGAGGTCTCTTAGGAGGGGCGGTGGTGCCAGAAGGGAGGAGGGGTCAGAGGTGGGGCAGGAGCCAGAGTCTTGGGAGGATCGAGCCTCTTGGAGCAGTGACTGTAGCATCACCACCTGCAAGGAGACCTGGGACATCTTGCGACTGGGGAGAGAAGTGACGGGAATGAAGGGGGCTGGGGGACTGAGGGGCAGAGCGGAGTCAAGAGGGCTGGGCGGACAGTGAGATCCGGCAAGATCTCGAGAGCGAGAGCTATCGGGCAGGACTAGGGACCCGGAGGAGGTGGGGAAATCACCCGAGTCGTGGGACAGGCCTGGAGTGTGGCCCATCTGCCCACTCCCCACCTCTGCCCGCAGCTCCAGGCTCAGGTCCACCGTCGTCTCCCCCAGAATCCTCTTCACTTCGGGCCGCTCCGGGAGCGGAACGTGTTCCTCTACCAGCTCCCACAGAGACGGGGAGTCCCGGAGCATGGCCCGCCCGCGCCGCCGCCCCCCGTCGAGCGGCCCCAGGCTCGCACCTGCCGGAGAGCCGGTGGCAGCGCCGTGTTACCGGGAGAAGGCTGGTCGCCCAAGGCTGGGCCCCGCCCACCCGCGCCCCGCCCCTTCCCGGCCTCAAGGGCCACGGCCCCAGCCCGTCGCGCTCCCCGGCCTCTCCCAAGCCCCACCCTGTTCTGCCACCAGTCTCAGCGACTGGAATTACCCGATCCGGAGCCGCCGGTCTCTGGCGCTGTCCCTTGTGCCCCGCTTCTAGCTGACTCTCGGGGACCGCGGTTCCCGGTCACGGCGCCCAGGAGCCGGGCAGTGGGGACCGGGGCCCTAGCTCTGACTCTTCCGCGCGGCCGTCACCCGGGAAACTGCGCCGCGACCCAGGCTCCGCCCCCCAGCCATTCTAGGTGGGGTGGGCGGTACCAGCTAGCCCGGAGTCGGACCCACCGCCGCGGGGGGTGGTTTGGGAGAGTCCGAACCATCCAGAGTCCTGATGCCAAGGTCTCTGGGCTCGTCTCCGGGCAACTTTCGGCTTCGGGGCAGGTGGGAAGAGCCGAGAAATCGGAGCCCACTGGGGTTGTTATTACTTCGTTGCCTCTCCTGGCCTGGAGGCAGCGGCTAGGTAAACCTTTCCTCAGGGTCGGCGGAAGTCTCGCGAACGAGCGGCTGCGCTTGCAGGGGCCTGGGGAACCAGGACAGCCCGGGCCAGACAGACGGGTTAGGCCAGGTGCCCTCCCACAACACACACCGGGTTTGGAATCTGGCCCCAGATTCCCTAACCCCAAGCAGACAAAGGGGCTGCTCCATTCACGTTTTTTACTAAAGCACCCACACAAGTTTCTGTGCAATATACAAACAACGGCCGGCCCTGGGGGCTACTGCCTTCTCTCTGAGACAGGGAGGCGCGAACCAGACTGACTGATCTAAGCCCCACCCGCCCCCCATGCAAAGCCCAACCCCAAGATCCTGGGCAGCGACACAGCACCCCCTCTGGTCCCCTCCTGGGGCTGCTCCTCAGCAGGGGGCGCACCAGTTTGCCCCTACAATGTTGAATGAAAAAGGTTTCCCCTCCCCTGGGAGCACGGGGGATCCCCAAGTCTGAGAATTCCCCCTGGAAGCGATACTGCCCCCTAGTTGTACCTCCCACTCTTCCAGGCCCTAGGGGACTCAAGGGGGGAGAAACTGAGGCACAGAGAGGTGGAGTGACCTAGCCCAGGCCACTCGGTGAGGCAGTGCAGGGGCTGGCCCGACCCTGACAGTGAGGGAGGGCTGGGCTGGGGAGGGAGGGGCAGGAAGAAGGGTTGACCCCAGAGAGGGCCACACTGGAGGGGCTTGCCCAGGTTGGAAGTCCCCCAAAGTAGGTTCTGAAACTTCCAGGTGCAGCTGGGGGGGGGGGGCTATGGAAGACCCTCTGAAAACAGAGCCCACAGTCTCAGTCCTGGGGGATCCCCCACAGAGTAGCCGCCAGCCAGGCTATATAGGTCAGTCCTCTGGCAGGCAATCCTTGGCACTGGGAGCCTTTGTCCATTAGCATCAGCCCCGAGGGGGCCATGATGGGGGCCGCCCAATGTCCACTGTGATATTGGTGAAGAGTGGTTGCCGAGACACCTCCAAGACCTGGTACCGCACTGACCCGATGCCATCCCGCTTCATGGTCAGCTTCGTGTTTTGAATCTTGGTAAACCTAGATAGGATGGAAGTGAATCCAGATCAGGGCTACCCAATAAACCAAATATGGGCTCTCTGGGGCTAAGGCTCAAGCCACCCTGGCTTCTTCCAGGGATGACTCAGTTCTCACCAAACCCTCTGCCCATCACCTGCTTGGAGCCCTTTTGCTCTGGCATCTGCCTTCAAAACAGAGATCTTACCCCCTTGAGTCCAGAACTGTGACACCCTCACAAATCTCCCTCTGAGCTCATTTCTTTCTAAGCCTTAGACCCAGACACGGGCATCCCATAGGCACCTCAAAGGCAATGTGTCCTGTGTCGGGTCACTGTCTGTACTCCCCAAGCCCCTTCTCCTTGCTCTCTTCTCTGTCCCCCACCACTTACTTAATGAGCAGTCCCCAAGTGCCAGGCTCTGCTCTTAAGTAGCAGGGGCCCAGTCAGGAACAGGACAGTAAGTCCTCCCTCTCATGGCAAGTCTGTCCCACTAGGGGAGACAGGTAACAGACAAGGAGCACGCCAGAATGCTAAGGGAGACAGGGGAGGGAGACCAAGATGGTTGCCTTGGAAGGGGTGAGCGCATGACACCAAGCTGACAGCAGGCGGAAGGGCATTCCAGGCCGAGGTAAGCACAGGCTGACCCTAAACTGGAAATGAGATTTTGCACAGCCAGTGGTTTGAGCTTAATGGGCCAAGGGCGTAAGAACAGCTTAGAGGCTAGAGCATGTAGGGGTGGGGCTCTGTAAGTCAGAGGATGCAGTTTTTTTATTTCTAGGAGTGAGAAGACAGGGATTTTTAGCCCAGTGGGAGGCAAGCGGGGAGGGCCAGAGGACAGGAACAATAGAAGGACGAGGGGGAAACAGGAGCCCAGACAAGAGGACAGAGGCTGTGCTTGGGCAGAGGGGGCGAAGGGAAAAGCAGATGGGCTCAGAGATGTCTGGGGAGTGGCACTGACACGACCTGCCGATGGTTTAGACACGTAGGGTAAGCGAACGAAGACTCCAGAAGAACTAGATGTGAGGCAAAAGCAACTAGGTGGATGGAGCCATTCATTTCTTTAAGCCAGAAATGCCTTGCTGTCTTGCCACTTCCTCACCCAAGGCCGACATCGCTCATTCATGAGGACACCGAGACCTGACACAGGACCAAGGCTCCTGGCATGTGCTTCTGGAGCTCTACTCCCACCCTCATTGCAACCGTTTTGATCCTCCCCGTCCTTCTGAGCTCAGCTCAGATCCCTCTCCAGGGCCATCCCAACACCAAGCACTCTCCCTCAGATGCCCTGCAGCCCCTCTTCTCCCTTCCCTGCTTGCCCTGGTTTTTTTTTTTTTTTTATCTGAACTGCTTTTTCATCAGCTCTCTGGATGCCCAGGGGTTCATGCTCCTGCCAAAGGCCAACCCTCCACTGGTGCTGCAGCCTGCCTCCCCGCCCTTACACCTTGCCTTCAGAGCAGAACAACCCTACTGTTCCATCTGGGCATGCGGCAGCCTCGCGCCCAGCACACCCCTGGGCCCCGTGATTCCTCCAAGCCTGGTCAGCTTCCTTCCTGGCCCACCAGCAGCCCTGTCAGCCCTTCTTCACCTTCTTCGTACTCAAACGGTGATCCTTTCAAACCCAAATCTGATCCTGCCCCCTTCCCTGCTTATAGCTCTCCCATGACTCCCCAGTGCCCCTGGGACAAAAGTGAAACTCCCAGCCTGGGATCTGAGACCCCAAACACCCAGCACTGACCCCACTACTGTCACTCCCAGCCCTCAGTGACTGTAATACCACAGTCCCAGACTCTTAACTTACACCATGCACGTTCACATCCCAGACTCCTGCAAATACCATTCCTTTTCTCCAAACTGGCCTCCTCCACTAGCCTGGTGAATACAGCACTGTGCCCAAGGCAGGTGTGTGACAAACATGTGCTGAATGAATGATCTTTCAAACTCCGGTTTACCATCACCTCCTCCAGGAGGCCTCCCACCATCACTCCTTCTTCTGCCGGGGCAGCACCTTGCCCTGATCACCTGGTGCCGTAACTGTCTGTCTCCCTCGCTAGAGTGAACTTCACATGGGCTGTCAGGGACTGGCTCTGGGCTCCCCCCGACCCGGCCCTCATCCCCCAGGTTAGAGCAGTGACAGGAAGCCCTGTCTACACTGCACATGCCCTTGGGTGCCTCTCCCAGCCGGTGCCAGCGCCAAATGTTGCTACATCATCAGGGACAAAGAGGCCTGCTCCAGGCTCAGAGAGACGAGCACTGTCTGTCTGTACCCTGCCCCACATTGCTCAGGCCACCTTTGTTGGGTCCCCAGGCCCAGGAGCTGTGCCCAGTGCCTGCTCCCTCTTGTCCTATCTCCTCTGGCACAAGGGAGGTCTGTGAGGACACTGATGGGAATGTAATCTACTCAGGGATGATTTGAACTCTGCCTTTACATTTTTGTCACCTCTAGGAATTAGGCCAGGGATGACTGAAGTCTGGGGTGAGGCTGAGCTAGGGGTTGGGAAACAGGGATCAGGGGCCTTGGGAATCACGTCTAGGGATCAGTGGCACTGGGGAGTCCCTTCTAGGGAGTAAGGGATTAGGGGCCCTTGGGGTCACCTCTGTGGGTTGGGCTCGTTATGCTTGTCCCGGTCGTGCTTGATCATGCGGTAGCGGCCTATGCGGATGTCTGGGCGCGAGATCTTCATCCCAGTCAGGGAGATCCTGGGGATGGGGACAGACGGGCTGGAGCAGGCACCAGGAAGGGCAAGGAGCCTCGCCCGGTCTGCACTGCACCTTCTGCACCCAGTCTACTCCCTGCCCCGGCCCTACTCACCGGTTGAAGATGTCGTCATCCTCGCCACCCCAGCCCCAGTACTCGTTGGGGAAGCCGTTGATTCTCAGAAACTGGGCTTTACTCAGGCCTGACACGCCTCCAAAGTAGCCAGCATAGGGCAGCCTGTGGCACGGAAAGGCAGGTGTCAGCTGAGGGGCCTGAGGGGATTCTGGAGGGAAGGCCAGAGATGGGTGAGGGGCCAGGAGCAAGGGGGCGCTGGGTGCTATGCGGACTGTCGGGCCAGGGAGTCTGGGTCCAGCTGAGAAGGGAGCCCTCACCGGAAACCGAACTTGTCCATGGCGATGGCAAAGTGGCGGGGCTGGTCACCACAGCGGTACAGGTTGCGGTCATCCATGGGGACCAGGTCCACGTCACTGAAGATGAAGCAGTCGTACGTGGCGTCCTCCTTCAGCGCCTCTAGGAAGCCTACGTTGAGCAGCTTGGCCCGGTTGAAGGTGTCCTCGCCGTGCTGGGGGTGGGGCAGGGGACAGGTCAGCTCTGGGCCTGTGACTGGCAGGCACCTGCCACTTTA